ATACTGTTCTCCAGAGTGGCTGCACCGGTTTGCATCCCACCAAGAGTCGGTAAGTATTCCCTTTTCTCTGCATCCTCACCAGCACCTATTTGTCATGGTAGTGACTCTGTCCATTAAGTCATAAACAGAGCAACCAGAAACACCCTACAAACCTATCTAGGTAAACAGACCAGTGAAATGTCTGCATAAGAACACAATAAGAAGTTTGTTTCTGAGGAGCTAAAGTGACAAGGCCATAAAACTATAATTGAAAAGAACATGGTCATGTTTAGGATAGTTTAATTAATAGCAGCAATAGCGCTGAAGGAAATTATGACGGTTAAACTAATTGAATGTTAAACTCCCATTCTGGAAAGAAAATAAACCAGCTGGTCTGTATTTTGTTTATGTGGGAGAACCAGTTGCCTGTAGAGATGATGCTTGTTATGCTTTTGTGTTTTTCATAGGTTAGAAATTGTGATGAACACTGGGTGTTATACATGACTAATGAATCATTGAATGTTATATTAAAAACCAATGATGTCCTATATGTTGGCTAATTGGATTAAATTAAAAAAATAATTTAGATAAGCAATAAGGTTTCCTCAGTTCTGGAGAAGCTTAGACTTTCTAAGGGCCCTGATGTCATTTTTTGTTGTGGTTATTAGAAAGCATTTTCCTACGGTTACTAATGTAGCAATGGTTTAGATATTCTTTTTTTAACTGGCCTATTTGTTGTTTTAACAACTGACCAGACTTCTTTTGAACTGTAGAGACTGACAGATTACCTGTAACACCCAGATCTTCTTTAGCATCTCTAGATGAATGTGTACTGACAACTTTCACTCCGTTATCTTTCCTGTATAACCTATGAAGTAAATGTATGACCAAAACAGGAATGCCAAGGATATTAATGAGGGATGTATGCTCCAAAGTTTTCAAAATTGGTCTACATTGTTGAAATGGTTGCTTTATTTGACATGCACACCATGTAGAAAAAGATGTGAAGACAAAGGGTAGAGTAAATTTACTTTAATATATAGTAAGGGTATATAGTAAATTTACACATTCAGGTACAAACTTAATTAATTATTAGAGTAGATTATTAGTAAAATAATTGCTAGCAGGTTTTATTCTTTATTTTGAAAAAAAAAACAGACAACATTCCAGCACACAGCTTGGAATGACCAGGCAGTTGTTAGTGGAAACCAAGTTGGAATTTTGAAAAGTAATCTGTCCAGTGTTTGTACTATATAAAAAAAATTACTTTGCCACAGCACAGCTTACACCTAGAGAAAGGGGAAGAAAATTAAAAACATTTCTTATATGCACTATTATGGAGAGACTATGAGAATTTCTATTATTCTCTCTGTAACCACTCAATGTTAAACATTCTGGTTCTTAAAAAAAGTTGTTTTAAAATATTATAAAACACAGATGAGTTGAGTCAAAGAGGGACATTTAGGAGTTGTGGAAGCCATGTCAACGGACTTGGTAGACATGGTGGAATGATAGTAGCACCATGGCGAAGCCTGACTCCATCCACACTTCATCATTGGAGGACATCACGGAGATTTCACTGGAAAATGTCCTATCAAGTCAGCTCTGTGCTAATAAGGCCTCCAAGTAGCATAGTCCTCTGACAAAATACATGTATTCCATTGTAAGAAGAAATTAGTACTATTTATTTATTTAGTTAGTTACTTATATTTTTCCTTAGATAAAGGGACCACTGACCTGCTTTTCTTTTAGTTCCATATTAGTGGTGGTAGCTTTCTGAGAACTACAGAGAAGATTTTGAGAGTACTTGGACAAGTGACAGACACTATGCTAACTCTGACTTACAGATAGTGAGGAACCCATTTTTCCCAGATGTATTGCAACATTTCAGGCTTACTACACATGAGCTCCATTGTGTGAAAATTGGTAGGACTCATTCCATAATGCTACAAATTTCAACCCGTTTGTTGTTCAACAAAAGTCCTTACTTCCGATGTCACTTGCTTATTGTTGAGAGTGTTTTGATTTCATTCCATAAGAACAAATCTGTGGTCTTACACCTCAAGAGCAGAGACTGTTGAAGTTCTGTACGATAAACATATTCTTCCAGAAACTAATTTAACTGCCTTTTCCTAAGGAAATAAGACCTTCCTTGACACAGCAGAAGTTGTGCAGGATTGCTTCTCTTGCTTTTGGTGAAGAGGTTCATCCTCAAGTTCACCTGCAGGATTGCTGGCTGGGTGACAGGATTGCTGGCTGGGTTGTTACCTTGCTTTACGTGAGCTCTCTGTATATGGTAGTGATATTCGCCAAAAGTGCGAGATATGTAATGTGTCCAGCAACACATTTTTATTACTCATACCTGTATACAAAAGGCAGAATTTAGGTCATAGTCATTGTCTCATTCTTTTTAAAACTAATATGTATGATTTGTAAGTTTTATGTCATATTTATATGAAAATTTTGATAGCGTTCTTTTTATATTTCAGAAAGTTTTTGAGATAGAATAACTTTCTTTTAATCCTGTAATCTAAGGTGAACCTGAGTCGGGTTTTCCCAGAATATCACACACCACAATTAGTTAGTTTCTGAGTAAATTATGATTTACTGTTTCTCAAATTAAACATAAGTTCTCCTGGTTGCAATCTCACAACTTCTGATGGCACTGAATTATAACTGGATCTAGAACATAGTTTCTTCTCAGATCTAGGGACAACAATGACTTCTGCCCCAACTCTACCAGAAAATTTTAAACTTCTGTTTAGTTGAAATGTTTTTCCAATGTGAGATACTATGTATGTGCTATTCTGAAATATTTAAACATGTACTGCTTTATGTTAAGGAATGTAAGATAAATATTGAGAACATAATTTGGATTTAGGAATTTGGAACCACTGTTTTTTTTTTTTTAAAGATTTTATTTATTTATTTGACAGACAGAGGTCACACAAGTAGGTAGAGAGGCAGGCAGAGAGAGAGAGAGGAGGAAGCAGGCTCCCCGCGGAGCAGAGAGTCCGATGTGGGGCTCGATCCCAGGACCGATCCCAGGACCCTGGGATCATGACCTGAGTCGAAGGCAGAGGCTTTAACCCACTGAGCCACCCAGGCGCCTCTGAACCACTGTTATTTTTAATAGGAAGGAGACTTGTGCGGGAACTGTGGGAGCCATTACATCAGATAAATGCAAATTTTTTCATTTCCAGATGAAATTGAGGATGGTGATGAAAGGAATCTTCTAGTGGATCTAGAATTCTTACACAGTAGATGTCGCAAATTATGTAAAATGTTGTCATTTCTTAAAAGTAGTCCCATTGCTTTGCATGTTTATGCATAAGGTTCTAAAAACAGTTCCATGATAAGGGCATTATTTTCTTCAGAAACTGAATTTGAGGTGTAATGTAAGGACTAACCTTCTGGAGTTTGGACTTCCATATAACTTGGCTCAACCTGGAGGACATCATCTACTCACCTTGCATCCTTGCCAAAGTTGTTTAATTTCCATCCATCATTTCATTCCCTGCATTGGTAGCAATGAAAAGGGTACTCAAATCACAGAGATAATGTGAGGATTAAATAAAATTAGGATATATAAAAGCCCTTGTGTAATCCTAGGTACAAACTCAAATACTCAAGAATTGCCCAATAAATTTTAGTCGTTTCATTGCAGCACGGTGAGTACTCTCTCAGTAGAAATATTAAGGCATATAAAGAAAGGCTGCTTATCAGCAAAGCTTGGGTGTGAATTAATACAGAACTTTAGATAGTTGTGCTTTAAGATCTCTTCTGAACCTGAGATATTATACTCATATTAATATATTGTGTGATAATTATCTAAAAGTGGGATTATATGTTTAAAATAATATGGTTACATGAAAGGATGTAACTCATAGTTTTACTACAGTGTATCTTTCCTGGACACCTCTGATGTATTCGTTAGCCAAATTTTCTCATATAAAGCAGGAGAAGATGAATAATAGAGGGTTATCTCTTGAATAAAATAAGGAAATCAGTTAAGGTACCAGGAGTAAGTGATTGAACACCATTTCACATAAAATATGAATTATTCTAAAGCAGAGTGGTTGTTCCAAAGCAGACTTTGCATCCTTAATCAACTCTCAGCTCCGTGAATGTTTTGATTTTGACAGTTGACTCTATCACATTTTTAGATTAAGTGTTATGCAAAGGAATTTTCAAGACCATCCATCCACATAGATCATGTCCTCTAAGTCCCTTTCTCTATGTGTATTCTGGAGATGCCACTAGATTTAGGTGCCAAATCCAGAAAACCTTTTCATTCAGGTTAAGTGAATGACTAAATTCCAATTTCCTTGACTTTATCAAAGGCATCTCAAGTTAAAAGACTATGCAGACTATCTTCTCCAATCAACAGCTGTATTTCTAGCCTATCGTCAGTTACCAGGAGATGCTGCTGCCTGAGCTGTCCATAGAATGACAATATTGTTCAGTATTAAAAATCACAGAGCCTTCATTTCAGTGGTGAGAGTTAAAGGAATTCCTTTAAATCTACAACAACAAGTTGTGATGCAATAAGGACCAGATTAATTTATAATCATCTTCCCTCCACTCCCTCAGCTCCTAAACACACTCAGGCATACATTTGTCCAAACAGTTCTTTCTTCAAGTGAATGACACAGAAGTTCCCAAAAGTCTCAGAGATGTGTGCACATCATGCCCAATATGGAGCTGCCTCACAATACAGGTGTTACAAAATGTTTCACAAGCAACTAGGTCAAACCTTTCAAGTACTCAACTTAAAACAGTACAAATGAAGGCAATCTTACGAAGGAGGATCTTCATACTGAATCTCTGATTGACAACTAGTGATGCTGTTCATATCTGATGCTGATTGGTTCTAAACTTGTAGATCATCCAATCCAAGAACACAGACATGAGTTCCTTGGTTAGTATTATTTGGGATGTGCCTGGAGGATGGTGCTAGTTAGTCCCCACTGATTTAGATTTGCCTACCTCCAAGAACCCTGTCCTCTGTATTTTCCAGCATGGCGTGTCTGTGGTTCCCTAGAGGCTCCTGGATGGCAGCTCTGACAGTGATACTGATGGTGCTGGGCCCTCCCATGGCTTGGGCCAGGGATACCCCACATAAGTGCACACCTTGTGTGGTGAGCTATTATGGGATGAGGGAAAGAAGGAAGTTAATTCTGTCACTGTGTTCAGACTGTATCCCTTAGAAAGTTGTAAAATTTTCTTCAGTGTCCACCGATCTTCATCATTTGGCTTTTCATTTGTTTTCACAACAAAAGGAACTTCTATGCTTGTCCTTTCTACAAGAGAGTGTAAGGAATCTCCATATATATATCCATCATTCAGTCTCAACTCTTCTCCAATGAAACATCTCCAGGCTTACATCCCATTTCCTCGAGGTCTGTGGGAATAATGATTTCAATATAATTTTTTGTTGAGTTGTTTTCTTTATTATACTGAGTTTTACCTGGTAAAGGGGAATATCTAGGGTATGAAAAGGACTTAGAAAGGTCTCTTCTAGAAGAACCTGTGTGATATCCTCAACAGGATCTGTGACGCTGGTATCTCTCCCTGATAAGTGAGGATATATCAAGAGGTCTCCTTCATTATCTCCTTTTCTTCCTCCTGAACTCCAATGTTTATAGAACCTATATTCCTATATCATAGGTTTTCCGACAGAAGTTAGCGTTTGTTTTCTATTTCTCCCATAGAAAGCAACCTGGAGCTGAAGCAGAGATCCTTAGTACTTAAAATGATGCTGTAGATAAGGAGCATTATGGGGAGTTCTTTGATGCCTTAAAGAAATTAAGGCATCTTCTGAAAACTTCACAGGGTTTAGTGTTTATTATGAATTTATTTTGAACCTTTCCATACTATTGATTTCTCCCACATGTCTCCTTTCTCTGACCCACGGAAAGTCTTCAAGTAGTAAAAGTTTTATGAAATTCTGGTCTTACTAATTTCTGGTCAAAAATATTCAAATATCAAGAATTTCATATGTTTCAAACTAAACACACTGAGCAGGGTACAGAGTGTGTGAAAGTTTTTTATATCCATCTTATCGGGCTAAATGTCTAGAGAACTCATTGGCCTCCTTGGGTCTTGGCCCTCAAAGCATGGACTAATTCATCATGGCCTCTGTTTTCCTCAATTAGCCAGTTTGAGGAAGGCTAATTAGCCCTTTTCTTTTCTTTCTATGTCATCACCATTACAGAGAATCACCAATATTTGCATAAAACTTTAGCACTATAATAGATCCATTAGATGAATTGAAACTTAATGAGATTTTCCTTCATAAAATCATCTTTCCCTTACCTGTGAATATTTCTTCCAACAAAAAAAAAAAAAAAAAAAAAAAGAAAATTTGTCTGAATTTCTCAGAGGATGCAGAAGGGATTTAATGTGTTATCAGAGTAAAAGAGTGTTGGAACTTGCTTTCTAGGATCTTTACAATGATCCATGTCACCCAGGGTTTATTCATTTAAACTATAAATACTTTTCTTAGCAACTATTATCATTTCTGGGCTCTGTTTGAGGATCAGAGAATACTGTTTGAATAAGATAGAAAAGTCCTATGGCTAGAATCAAAAGATAAGAAATACTAAGTGTTGGCAAGGATGTAGAAAAAAATAAGCCTAATGGCTGTTGGTGGGAAAACAAATGGGTGTAGCAACTATGGAAAACTGTATGGAACTTCATCAAAAAAATTAAATATAGAGTCACGTAAGATCCAGTAATCCCACTGTTGGAAGTAAATGAAACACTGATTAAAAGGATACATGCACCCTCATATATATTGCAGCAGTTGTATACAGTGCAAACCTAGTGTTCATGAATAGATGAATGGATAAAGAAGATGTGGTATATATACACAATAGAGTATTCCTCAGCCATAAAAATGAGATCTTGCCATTTGCAAGGACATGGATGGACCTAGAGGGTATAATGCTCAGTGACGTAAGTCAGACACCAAAAGACAAATACCAAAAGATTTCACCAAATGTGAATATAAGAAACAAAACAAATCAACAACGAAAAAAAGAGAGACAAACAAAAAGTCAGACTTTTAAATACGGAGAACAAGCTGGTGGTTGCCAGAGTAGAGAGAGTGGGGGATGGGTAAATGGATGACAGAGGTTGAAGAGCACACTTACTGTGATGAGCTTGAGCGTGTACAGGATGGTGGAACCATCATGCTGTACAATGGAAACTAATATAACACAGTATGTTAATTATACTTCAATGAAAAAATGTCCACAACTATCAAAGTCATTAAAAACTTACCTAACAACAGTGTAGAAAGCCCAATAAACATTTAACAAAGAAATTTCAGAGAGCGGTAAGTGCAGTATAAACACAACAGTGCAGAGTATTGTGACAGAGATTTGGATTCACCTGACCTCAGTTCCAGTGGCTGGGGAGCTGTCCCTGAGAGAGTGACATTTAGCTGGGACGTGAGTGATGAGAAGAAACGGGCCATGTGTAGGATCTGAGGGACAGGTGTTCTGGGGAGAGAGGACAGGATAAAGACCAAAGTGTGGGAAGATGTTTGCTGAGTTGAAGGGACAGAAGGAAGACTGGAGTGGCTGGAGTGTGGGGAGTAAGCTGAGGAGTGCTCTCTGGGTTGCCACTACCATGTTTCTATCACTAGGGGAATGCCCACCATGACCTTATTGTCGGTGCCTTTTTTTTTTTAAATTTAGATTTTTATCTGAATAACTTCAGCTTATATTGAAGTTTGATATGATTTTCTTTTATTAATGACATACTAGTTTTCAAAATCTTTATCTGCCAGTTCATGCAAACATGAACACAGCCCAAAGTCTGTGCCAAACACTTGTTAAAGTTGTTTTATTAATTTTTAGCTTCATTACAGGCACTAGTAACTGATTCTTTCAGAAAGCTGTGGATTTGTAGGCTTCTCTCAGTAAACTGTAACAAGAATGGAATTTAAAAACTATACCTGCTCTTGATGAGACAAAAATTCTTCGGTCATAAGATTTCAACACAGACGTCATACTGTGGGAAATTCAAAGCCAAAAGCTTTAGTTTTTACAAGAAGCTCAGAGGAGCATCATGTGGAACAATTACCCAGGGACAGTGACACTACAGGCTTCTCACAGTCCAGCTTGGCTGTCAGGAACATGTCACTGATCCAAAGTGGTGATTGAGTCAGTTAGGAAATATATATCTGGTTCTGCATATTTTTTTTGTTTGAAAAATAATGCACAGGGAAAGTCATTACATCTTTCAGACATCCTGGATTTTAGTCTTTCCAGTCACCGTTCACTTTGTTTTGGGTGAGCCTGAAGCCTTAGCACAGCCAAGAACAGTCATTTTTCGGTTAGAATTCTTAGTATATTTTGATACCCTCTTATTAGGCACTATGAATGTTTTTTAGGAATCTGGCACCAGTACTGAGCTATTTTCCAGCATAATTTATTTCCTCAGGATAAGGTTTTTCATCAGATATAATATTGGCAAATTTTTCAATGCAATACTCAGCTTTCTCATAAACAACAGAAGCTTTTTCATCACATATATTTCAGGTAGTCTAACAGTGGTTCTTACCCAGGGACATTTTTGCCAGCACCCCTGACCCCTGGGGTATAGAGCAACGTCTGGAGCCATTTTCTGGTTTTCAAAACCGGGGTTTCATCTGACATCTAGTGCGTAGAGGCTAGTGATGCTGATAGACATCCTAAACTGCACAGAACAGCCTTCCCACAACAATTATCTTGTCCAAAATGTCAACAGCTGTGGTTATCAATTATATTGTTTTCTCTTCCCCATTTCTCATTTTGGGTTTTGAGTCTTCCATCGTTTGTTTTTGTTTCTGTTTTTTCTTAGTTAATGTACTTAAAGAATTGTCAATTTAGGTTATTTATTTATTGATTGAAAACTGGGTCATTACTTTCAATGTTATGTGATTGTGTCTTCTGGTCTTTATTTTACTTCTGATTTTTCTTTGTTATTTCCTTCCTCTACTGAATTTCCCCCAAGTTTCTTTTTCTAGTTCCCTCAGGTGTCATGTGTTTGTTTGAACTTTTTTTCCTTTTTCCTTTTTTTTTTTTTCCCTTGACACTGGCTGAAAGAGAACTCTTTATTGCTTTTAAGTACAGAAAATTCAATAGTGCACACTTAGGCCAGTTTGGTGGTCCGTTCTTTTAGGCTTTGCCTTTTCCAATGCAAACAACTGACTTTAGACCCAGGACATTGTCTCAGAGACAGTGGATCTCACCACATCTGTCATTGTAATTTCTCTTGATTGCCTCCAACGGTTTAAGAAGAGCTCATTTGTCTTCTGAATTAACTTGTATGAAGGTGACTATGGTGCAGATCTTCCCGTGGACCAGACACCCCAGCCTGGCCTTCCCCTTGATAATGCTGGGGAATCCCCATGTTAGGATATAGGGCAGGCAGGAAGACATCCAGCTCAATGGGATCCAAAGTCATATGAAATCACTACCAGCTGAGCCTTCTTGTTTTCCACCAAGGTGGTGATAGGATGAACCTAACTCAAAGGACAGTTGGCCTCTTAAGGGGACATCCCTTTACTAGCAGCTTTCATCTCAGCCGAGCCAACAATCTCTCCTTCTCTTGCTTTGCCTCTGGTCTGAACCTGTGGGCCAGCTTAAGCCATTGAGTAACTGTGTGTGGCTGTCAAAGGCTTAGAAACTGGGTAATCGTAAGAGATACTTCTAGACGTTTATATAGAATAACCTTTTGCTGCTGCAGCAGGAGTAGCAGGGGCATTTGACAAAGTGGGTGAGGTCCCTTTTGGGCTGGATATCCTTCCTGTCCATTGCCAAAATTCTTGGGTCTTTTCTCAGACAAGGGATTGACCACCTTCTTGGATTCCTGCTTCTTCACCAGGGTCCAGAGCCACCCCTCAGCCTCCTTTCCTTTCAGCATCTTGGTGGAGAGAGCTGAACTTTTTCTCTTAATACAAGAATTTACAGCATACATTTCACTTGTGTTTTCTTTTTCTTTTGTTTTGAAACATATTTTGATTTGCCATTTGATTTCCTAGTTGCCCATTGCTTGTGCAGTAGTGTGTTATTTAATATTTACATATAATTATTTAACATTTACATTGTAGATATTCCAGCTTTGTTTTACTGTTGATTTTTAGTTTTGTACCATTGTAGTTGGAAAATATATGGGGTATCATTTCACACAAATGAACAGAACCTCAAAATGTTAACAGTGCTGAGGTTGAAAATACTGATTTATACTGTGCTACTTCTCAAAACTGTAGACTCACACTTTATACACACACTCACCTTCCAATTCAGGTCTTTGTGGTTTATTTTAGTTTGATTAAATAAGGAAATAATAAAGTATAAAGTTGTATACCTTCACCAATTTCTTGTAGAGACCATTGAATCAATGGAAGCCAAGATCTTTATTTTTACTTTTTGTCTTATACAATGTTTTTCAATATTCTGTGATTTCTGGACAATCACCATCTCTGTTAACTTTCAACAACTTTCCTTTATAAGGCATAAATTGCGACTGCCACAAGTATTTTTCAGTAAAATATATCAAAACGTTGTAGTAATTCTACATTCTATTATATTGATAATGTCAAATGCTCCCTTTTTTTTTTTTGTCTCCCTTTTAAACACAGAGTTATTTTTCTCCAAATTTTTCATGTTAATCAGACTTGAATAAAAAATGTTTCTTGGGGTGCCAGGGTGGCCCAGTGGGTTAAAGCCTCTGCCTTTGGCTCAGGTCATGATCCCAGAGTACGGGTATCGAGCCCCACATTGGGATCTCTGCTCAGCGGGGAAACTGCTTCCCCCTCTCTCTGCCTGCCTCTCTGCCTACTTGTGATCTCTATCAAATAAATAAATAAAATCTTAAAAAAATTTTTTTCTTAGTTTGATTAAACGTGAAACAGGAATATCAATATATACATACATCTATGCATGTTTGTATATATGTGTGTATGTATATGCGTATATTTGCATACATATATTATGATGTGTGTATGTTTACATATATTGAAACTTTAGAAGCACATGTGACTGATTGACCAATTAGAGATCTGACGTGTTTGAGCTCTACCTCATCAAACTAGATGTCCTTTACCTCATCAGACTAGATTTGCCAAATGGGTTCTGCATCAAAACCTTTAATGCAATCTGGTTTTCTGAGACTTCTGAATTTCGAAATGTAGGTAAAGATGGAGGAACTGTATTACAACCATGGTTTTAATCTCCTTAAAATTCCTCACTCATATGCCTTTGAATTCAGTATACAAGTCAAATGCTACCACCCCACACAGGCTTTTAGTATCCACTGCATGTGATGTCTCTAAACGTCCTTCTTCTTCTCACTGTCTGCTTCAGTGAACTGTTTTCTCTGTTTTTTTTGAAGGAAATTTCTCAATTCTTTCAAGCTTTTGCACAGTTACATGACCTTGACTTGAAATGTGCCTCCTTTTCCCCAAACACACACACACACACACACACACACACACACACACACACACACCCTCTAGCTCACATCTACTTAATCTTTCATGTCACATCTGGAATGTCAGTCTTGAGACCACCTCTCTGGCATGCCAAGGTAACTGAGATCATCCAATTATTCTCTGCTCTAGAACTGCACACGTCTCCTGGGATGTTTCTCACCCCGTACAAAGTCTGTCCTGGTTGGGTTTTGTGCGTCACTTTCCCTCCATTTTCAGTTCCGGGAGTGGAGGGGACCCGTCTGTTTCCTTTTCTGGATTCACAGGGGCGGCAGGGGCCTGAGCCTGCTCAGGCTGAACAGAGTGTTCAGGGGGCGGGGAAGCAGGTGGGACGAGTTTAAGGCGGGGGTAAGGGCTGTGGGAGGTGAGGAGGGAAGCTGGTGTCTGTCAGCAGCACGCGTCTAGGAGGCGGTGAGGGGCAAATGCCGGCGCTATTCAGGCTGGGGGTCCGCCGCCTCTCCCGCCGCCCGCAGAGGGAAGACGAGCGGTGTGTGCTGGTGGTTTGGGGGCGCGGGGGGAGCCAGCGAGGGAGCCGCCGTCAGTCTTCCAGGAGCCCGCGGGTGACCGGATCGTCTCTGTCCCCACAGCACATTTCCTGTTCCTGACGACGTCCGAGTGCTACTTCACCAACGGGACGGAGCGGGTGCGGTTCCTGCAGAGGTATTTCTATAACCGGGAGGAGTTCTTGCGCTTCGACAGCGACGTGGGGGAGTACCGGCCGGTGACCGAGCTGGGGCGGCCCATTGCACAGTACTGGAACAGCCAGAAGGACTACCTGGAGCAGAAGCGGGCCTCAGTGGACACATACTGCAGACACAACTACGGGGTGGTTGAGACCTTCTCGGTGCAGCGGCGAGGTGAGCGCGGCAGGGGCGGAGATTGGGGGAATGTGTGTGTGTGTGTGTGTGTGTGTGAAAGAGAGAGAGGCAGAGACAGAGACGAGAGAGACAGGCTGTGAGACTAGACTCGTTGGAGTGAGCCTACAGGGTCTTGAGCAAGTACAGGTTAGAAGGATCCCTGTGAGAGTGCCATGTCAGGGACACTGTGGTCTGTTTGTGTCACTGTGCAGAGTGTGTGGTTGTGATTGTATGGTTGTGTCCCTGTGTGGCTGTGGGGACAGTGTGTGAGGGGTGTGCTCTGAAGTGAGGGGAGGCAGAGAATGAGTGTGAGCTGGGCTGTGGGCGTGGATGTGGGGATGGGCTGGGAGAGTGGGTGTGAGGGGAGGACACAGGAGGGGACATCTGACATCCTTGGTGGCCCCTGAGGGAGAGGTGAGGGGAGCTCAGGAGCTGCAGGTGGAGGGAACACTAGGCAAGTGGTGGAGTCCTGGGGATGGAAGTGGAGGGTGTCCTGGTTGGGGTGAAGGTTTAGGGGAAGGGAAGGGAGGATTAAAAGATTAGGGAGGATGTGAAGAGGCCAGTCACCCTCTGTTCTTGGCACTCACTCTTCTTAATCCTGAACCCCTGAAGTAAGTGTGCCTGTCTGTGTGTGGGACCATTTCATTGAGAAAAAGTGTCAGACTAATTTTTGATGGGTTAGGGAGAACTCTGAGGACCCTCTGATCTTTCTGAGGCTGCTTTTAGATCTCATATTCTTGATTTTTTAAAAATAATTTTTTTAAAGATTTATTTATTTATTTTAGAGAAAGAGAGAGACAGAGAGCGAGAAAGAGAAAGAGGGACCACAGGCAGCAGCGGAGGGAGGGGGCAGAGGGAGATGGAGAGAGAATCTGAAGGGGACTCCCTGCTGAGCAGGAGCCTGAAGGCTGGGGTGGGATGGGGGTGCTGATCTCCATCTCAGTTGCCGGAGATCGTAACCTAAGCCAAAACCAAGAGTCTGATGTGTCACCCAGGAGCTCCTTGCTTTATTTCTTTGTGTACGTATTCTTTTATACTTGAGATGATTTTGAAACTATGTTTTAATTATATTTTTTCCAAAATATATCGATACTGCTGTTTTTAAAATAAAGTATTTATGGAGTTGAATATGATTTCTTTATGTTGCTGTAACAATTCATCTCACATTCCCCTTTCTTAGACCTTTTTTTCCCAACATTGCCAAATACACAGTTGAAAATTAGTCTTGTTAATTTTTAATTTCTATTCCTTTAATTTTTAAGGTTCTTGAACATTTTTTTCACATATTATTTGGCTAATCATTGTTACCATTGTAAAAATTATCTACTGTCTATTATGTTTTAGTGTTTTTCTCAGTGGTTTTATGCATGTTCTATACGTAATATTATTAATGCTTTGCTGACATTTTATTTAGCATTTCCCCTAGTTTGTGGTTTATATTTTGATTCTAATTATTACTTTTTCCTACCAAGAATGCAAATATTTGTATTTAATGAAATATATTACAAAATTGTTAGCAGTGGTTTCTTATCAATCTTAAATCTACGATTTTATGGTGAAAAGGTTTTCCCGTGTTTCTCCTTTTACAAAAACAGAAATTGTATTTATTGAGGCTGGCAATGTCAGGTATTGTCTCAGGGACTAAGGATAACTATTAGTGAGTCTCAGACCCTGCCATGAACTCAAATGTCAGCTTTAAAAGGGGGATAATTACAGAATGATAACAATTACAATAATAGATATTTTTGTGCTGCAAAGAAGTATTGATCAGCAGAGTGCAATTATGAGAACTTTTTTAAATAAATGAGTTTCCTTGCTCTTTTTCCTCTCTTTCAGGACTCATGCTGTTCTTGGGACTCAGCTCCTAGGGCTAGAGAGTCACCTCTGTCTTTACTGGTTCCCAGGATATAACCATTTCTGTGGTGTCCAAAGTGTGACTGTAGCAGTTGTAGGAATTCACACTCTCTTTCCCCATCTACCACAAGCTGTCCTCCAATTTATTCACACTTTAAGTCATATTTTTCTCTCCAATAAACCAAGGGTAATAAGTAGCTAACATATACTGATGGGTAAATATCAGTTACCATTTTACATACTTCGATGCATTAATCTTCATACAACCCTAAGAACTAAGTTAGTATTACTGTCACTCTCAAAAGGTTAGAAAGCTGGGGCACAGAGGAATGCAAATATTCTCCCAGGATGAATCAGTAAAATAGCAGAGTCTGTATTTGAGCACAGTCAGCCTGCTCCAGAAATCATGCTTTTAATTAAAACAACCTATGCCTTGTAAAATTTGTAAACATTTCAATTCAACAAGAAACTGTTTCACACTATAAAAAATAAAACCCACAAATTTCTCAAACATCTCTCAAGATTAATGACCCATGCTGTCAGTATTAAATTCAAGACTCATGATACTGATACTCATTGGGCCACATGGCCAGCTTTGGGAGAGCCTGCTTGAGACTTAGCCCAGGAGCAGAGACTGGAGGCAGCCTGGCAGCCAACCAGGGAGACTGAATCTGTCTTCCTCACTGAGTCCTTCTACCTCTTCTCTTCTAGTGGAGCCTACAGTGACTGTGTATCCTGTGAAGACCCAGCCCTGCAGCACCACAACCTTCTGGTCTGCTCTGTGAATGGTTTCTATCCCGGCCATATTGAAGTCAGGTGGTTCCGGAATGGCCAGGAAGAGGAGTCTGGGGTCGTGTCCACAGGCCTGATCCGTAATGGAGACTGGACCTTCCAGGCCCTGGTGATGCTGGAGATAGTTCCTCAGAGTGCAGAGGTCTACACCCGCCAAGTGGAGCACCCCAGTTTGACGACCCCTGTCACCGTGGAATGGAGTGAGAAGAAGCTTTCTGACCTCACAAGTTCCTCACCCACTAAGGAGGAGACTTTGCTTTTCCTGTCAGGGTTCTCTCTCCTTACACCATGTTTTCATTTGCTCCATCATCTCTTCTTTTCAGCACAGATCACTGGGGGTTGCTGAGTGATATCCTGTGGTAGAAATCCTCTGATAATTTCTATATATACTGTGATCATTTGTACAGATCCTGTATTCCCTGGTGAGGCAGTTATGCCTGGCAGGCAGAACAGAGGTTGTCCATGTTTTGACATTTACCATGGCTCACAGGTCATGGTTCCCTCTTCACACTGGGCACCAGTCCCCTGGTTCGGGCTGGGCTTGTGCTTCAAGCAATGTTGCTCTGAGTTGTTGATTGTGGTCTCAGAAGAGGCACATCCTCCATAATGTAGGGACCTTCCTGACTTGAGGGGGAATCCAATCTTGACTCTGCCTTTCATTAGCTGTGTCGCTCTGCACAATCTGTTGAGCTCCATGGACTCCATCTAGGCTTCTCATCCGTTGATGCTGAAGTAGTGGATTTGTCAGAGCTGTGATATTTAAAAAGTTCAGTGACTAAACATTGCATTTCTGCAATATGATTTTTAAATTTCTTTTCCAGAAATCGAAAATTACTCGATTTCTTCAAGGCAGTCTGCCTTCCTCATTCTCAGAGTTCTCAATCTCAGAGTCTCTATCGGAGAAGTTAGAGTTGGGATAAAAATCACTAAAACTGTTTCTTCTCTCAGGAGCACAGTCTGGGTCTGCACAGAGCAAGATTCTGAGTGGAACTGGACGCTTTGTTCTGGGTCTGCCCTTCCTCGTGGTGGGGCTGTTCATCTACTTCAGGAATCAGAAGGGTAAGGTACCTGTTGGTGAGTCTCTACAGAGACCCTGTGGGGGAGAAATACAGCTTTCATCAAATAAGGTCTCTGTGTACCAGTGGCCCTGCATGAAGCCTTCCTTTCCCAATTCGACTTCAGATTTCTTAGAAATCTAGAAAGCAATAGCCCATGGTTACTGGGTTTTAGTATAAGAGGTTATGGCCTGTAGAGATAAGAGAGAGCTTAACAAGCATGGGAATCTTGGTTTGGGATCCTGGGCCAAATGCAGGAAGAGGCACTAAAGCTAGTGAAATCCCACTGTATTTGTGTGACGGAAGCTTCATGGGTCACATCTTTCACTTTTTTCTCTACTCTGGCATCATGTCATGTGGGTTGTGATGTTAGAGAAATCTAAGGAGGCGGGTCTGGGGCTGGGACTTTGTGTGTGGGGACAGATTTACCTCCTTATCTGTTAAGTATATGTCTTCCCTTCTCTTTCCCAGGACACTCTGGACTTCAGCCAACAGGTAATGCTCTGTCATCCTCTTTAGTGATAGATTTGGTTATTCCAGAACAAGTGGTAATGGTGAAAGACAGAAAAAATGGGAAAGACTTTGGATCTGACTTCTGATCGGGCAGTTTACACTGAAGCTTCCTCTCTCCATTTAGTAAAAGGCCTGTGCTGTGAAATAGCTTCAGATCAAGGAGACCTAAGAATATGCTCTTCTTACTGCAGGGCTTTGACTCGAGGCCCTGGGAAAGGGAGAACGGGCTGCTTGGAGAGGTGGGTCTGGAAACAACACTCTGCTCTGTCTCTGCAGGTCTCCTGAGCTGATGTGGAGATGGTGACACTCCAGGAAGAACCTTCCTTCCCAGCCTCTTCTCAGAATGAAAGGCTTCCAGCTCTTATTCCTCCACAATTACAGTGCTTTCTCAGATCTGGTTGGCCCGGCTTCAGTGACTTGCAGCACCTGTCCTCCCTGTGGCTCTGTCTGCCCCTTCCTTGACCTGGAAGCCCCAGTGTGACTTCAGTACCTCCTCTGCATTCTCTCCGGTCCCCTTCTGTGTTGCCTTTCCTGCCTCCCTTGCACGGGAACTGAACTTCTTCTCATGTATCTTCATAAGCTTTTCTCAAACAAACATGGGGTTAAAATAATCTGCTTCACATAGTTTCAAAGAAAAGAGGTATAAAAAAAGAGACAAAGGGAGGATTCCACCACAATAAAATAATGGTTTTTATTTATATCCCAGAATTTTGCTCAGATGTGGAGATCTTGAAGGTATCCTTGTTTCATTCCCATTTATTCTTGGGCTTTACACGTTCTGTAATTAGACATATTTTCTGGAGTTTGGAGGAAGCCCTTAATGACCCATAAGATGATGATGTCCTACATGTCTATGTTCTGAAACACAAACACACCAGTCCTTTTGCACCATGGGATAAGGAAAGGGGACAGAAAAATATTCCTGCAATGTAATGCAAATAATTTTTACATAGGTGATGCCCTTAGACTTTTTATAATAACATTCTTTTGTCATTTTGTCCCTGATTTTTTATTTTTTATATTTTTATTTCATTTTATTTTTAAAGTAGGTTCCATGCCCAACATGGAACATGAACTCATAACCTTGAGATCACAAGTTGAATGTTCCACTGACTGAGCCAGCCAGGTATGCCTTTCCCTGATTATTTATAGAAAGTATCCTAACCTGAGTAAACCCCTTTCATTATACTGATGGTGAGTTCTGTCTACCCTTCCATCTTTTTCTGTCTCTCAGATAAACTTAGTTGCATGCTAACACTTTGGCTTGGGATGCAGCCTTCCCCATAACTAAGTCTCAGACCATCAGGACAAAGCCACAACTCTAGGGGAAAGATACAATTCTGAGACCTTCCAGACTGTGTGTATTCTTACTGTCTACAGGAATATCCTGGATGGATAATATCTTAGCAGATCAGAAGCAGTGCTGGGAAACAAAGGGGAAATTATGAATATTCAGATGTCCATACAAACAATGAAATGTTATGCACCTGGAAGGAAAAATACCACACTGCTATAGAATAATCTCTAAAAGGCATTTGTATGGGTACAGGAAAGTTTGTGAAGCACACAACATTTTGTTTAATAAGATAGAAGAAGAGAATAGGAATATATACCTAGATCAACTCATTTTGTCTATATCACCCATCTATCATTATCTCTCTATCATCTGTCTAATCTACATACTACAATGGAAGGATTTTTTAAAAAAATTGTTGCCTCTCAGTCAAAGTGTATGAATAGGTTGAAGGGAACAGAGATGAAAACTGAACTATTCTTATATCTTATTTAATATAAGAATATATCTTATTTAATAGTTTTAATATGAAGACACTTCAAATATTTTGTCATAAAAACTTTAAATAAAAAGTTTAAAAAGACAATATATATAAAAACAAAACTGTATTGATGAAACAAATGTGACAAAAAGTATATGGTGGGAAACAAACAGGAAATTAAACCAAATATTTTTGGTTCTTAGAACACTGTGTAACTGTAATTGTGAGTATATAGCTCTAAATTCCTTAGACTTCAATGATATAAGACTTGGAAAGGTTTCAGACAAATGCCCCTAAATTGGTTAAGGAGATGATGAGTTCTGCTATCATATTCTGTCTGAAGAGTCACTTTGAAATGTAAATCAAATCTAAAAAGCAGGCAGTAGATTCAGAAGTTCATGGTTATAGTGATTTCAACACGATTTCTCCACTATTAGAGACAACTGTAATTATCAAGCCAATTCAAAGTTTCTTTTATGTATATTTCTATCATGCATTATTGATGTGAAGCAGTTTATCATCCTGTGGGAGTTTAATAAGGTAACAGTCATGTACTCAACATTTATATGATCTTATCAAACCCTGTTTGATCCCAGGGTTGCAATGTTACTTTTGTTGTGTTCTCTAAGACGAAGACATGAGTTGTCTTATTTATCTTAGATCTGTGGTCTGAAGTTATAATGTAGGATTAAAATGCATGGCAGGAATATTTCAGTGGAGATGCTTTCTGTTGCTAGTGGAGAAAAACCAATCTAATTTGCTTTATTTTTCTTTAACTCCTTGTCTCACATGGCAGACAGACCCAGTGTAGCTCATCTCCAGAATTGGTCAAGTCATCAGGCCAGTGATGTTGCCAGTGATCGTGGGACTTTGTATCTCATTTCTCTATCATACACCACACGTCAGTGTTTTGGAAATGGTAGTAGGCTGCCTGCCTGGAGCAGCTTCAGGATTCATTTTCTCTTACAATTTCCAAAGGTAGGAAAAGGAACTGTTTCTCCTCATATGCTTTTATAAGAGGGAACTAAACATCTTCAAGTATTCCCAGTAGATCTACTTCCCCACACATTAGGAGGACCATGGGATTACCGTGGTATTCTCAGACAAACCATGCTCCACCCTTTGTGGGTTGGGCCTGCCTCACCTGATGGACTGGAAAGATGGGAGCAAATAATCTTGTTTAGGAAGAAAGAAATGTTAGATGGGGTAGAGGGGAACAATTTTAGATGAGGATACTATCGTATCTGGTACTATTAGAGTGTTAGTATTTTTTGTTATCTCCCCATGAAGGATGCTAGATTGTTGAGGGGCAGCATCAGTTCAAGGTTCTGAGGGTTTCTTTCTTTCTTTCTTTCTTTTTTTTTTTTTAATGTGGAGTACTACATGGCAGTTATAAACCCAATTACAATTAAAGACAACAGCTAAGCAAGAGGATTATTTGTTTGTTCTTAGAAGTTAACATGCTGATACTTAATTTTATAAGGAAAAATATATTTCTCAGAAAATTTCCAAGGACAATTAATGTGTGTTAAGTTTGATAAAATGCTAAAACCTGTTATATATCAATTTTTATAGGCAATCTTATAGGAATTGATTTCTTATTGATTAAATATGCCAGTACAGCAGAGTCCAGAATTAGATTGAAGAGTTGAGGTTTAGTTTAAAATAGAGCACTTCAAGCATATACAATGGGGGAATGAACATTCTTTTCAAAAAATGATGCTGGGAAACTGGACAGCAACATTCAAATAAATGAAAATGGATCATTATCTTACATTACAAAAAATTAACCCAAATGGATTAAAGATTTAAATGTGAGATCTGTAACCATATAACTCCTGGAAGAAAACATAAGCATCAGCTCCCCGACATCTATCCTGGTGATGATATTTTGGATTGGACACCAAAGGCAAAGACCACAAATAAAACTGAAAAGTTGAATTACATTAAAAAGCTTTTGCACAGCAAAAGAAACTATCAATAAAATGAAAAGGCAACCTATGAAATGGGAGAAAATATTTACAAATCATATATCTGGTGAAGGGTTAATATCCAAAATACATAAAGAACCAACTTATTCAACTTAATAGCAACAGAACAAAACCAAACAACAACAACAAAACAAAAAACCCAATCTAATTAAAAATTGGGCAAAGTGTCTGAATAGACGCTTTCCCAAAGAAGACAACAGATGGCCAACAGGCACAAGCAGAGATGCTCAACATCATTAATCATCAGGAAAAAGCAAATCAAATCCACAAGAGATATCACTTCACACTTGTTGAATGGCTTTTATCAAAAAGAACAGAAATAACAGAGGTCATTGGCATGGATGTGGAGAAAATGAAACCTTGCGCACTGTTGGTGTGAATGTAAGTTACTGGAGCCACTATGGAAAACAGTGTGGAATTTTCTCATAAATATTTTAAAAAGACCTATGACCCAGCAATTCCACTTCTGGGTACTTAACCAAAGCAAATTAAATCACTAACTTGAAAATATACTTGCATCCCCCTATTTATTGCAACATTATTTATAATAGTGAAGATATGGAAATAACCTAAGTGTCCATCAAAGGATGAATAGAAACAAATATAGTATACATACATCAACAAATATTATTCAGCCATAAGAAAGAATGAAGTTTTGTCATTTGTGACAACATGAATGGACCTTGAAAACATTATAGGAAGTGAAATATGTCGCACAGAGAAAGGCAAATTAGAGTGATCTAATCTATATGTTGAACCAAAAGATTAAAAAAAAAACCCCAAAATAGAAAAAGCCAATCTCACCAATACAGAGAAGAGAGGGTGGTCACCAAAGGTGGGAAGTTGGGGGTGGTAAAATAAGTCTGATGTGTGTAGTAGGTAGCTATTCTTTCTTAGATCAAGAAAATTCCCCCCGCCCTTTTTTTTAAGATTTTATTTATGTATTTGACAGACAGAGAGGTAGGCAGAGAGAGAGAGGAGGAAGCAGGCTCCCTGCTGAGCAGAGAGCCTGATGTGGAGCTCATCCCAGGACCCCAGGATCATGACCCGAGCCGAAGGCAGAGGCCTTAGCCCACTGAGCCACCCAGGTGCCCCAAGAAAATTCCCTTTTAATAGAATTTTAAAAATCTAGATATAGAAAAATTAGGTATAGGATTTGAATCCTGTCAGATGATATTTTATGATTCTACCCAGATGGTCATATTTTTTTGTCTCCTTCTTTAACTTAATGTGATAAATTGCATTAATTAATTCTCAAATTTTAAAACAATCCTGCAGTCCTGGAGTAAAATCCACATAGCCATCATGTATTGTGTGCCGCTTCCAGGCGAACGGGAGAAGAATGAGGCACAAACAAGTCAGCTGCAAGAGAATGGGATCACGGGGGCACCTGGGTGGCTCAGCGGTTTAAGCCTCTGCTGGCAGCTCAGGTCATGATTTCAGGGTCTTGGGATCAAGCCCCAAGTTGGGCTCTCTGCTCAGCAGGGAGCCTGCTTCCCCCACCCCTGCCTGCCTATTTGTGATCTTTTTGTCAAATAAAATCTTAAAAAAAAAAGAGAGAATGGGAGCAGGGGACAACAGTCGAAAAGACTGTTGCCCAGAGTAACTCCTCAGTCTCGCTTTTATTAGCTAGAAACAATGACCAACAGAAGAGCAGATGAAGGTCAAACATTAGTCAAATGCCTTGTAGATAAACAAGAACGAGGGCAAAGTTTATAGTTAAACAAGCACATTCAAAGGACTTATCCAATTAGCCACAGGCGCTTTTTGGGAGGAGAAAGGGGAGATAACGGAAGAATGAACCTGAGCAAGCCGGCATCCCCAGCTGCTCAGCTTCAAGGCCGTCTATCATCCTCTCCCCCAAAGGCCTGTTGCCAGTATGTGTTTTTCTTAAGGCTGTATCTAAATGTGCTTGGTAACTAGTAAAATCTCCCAGGGGTTATATTTTAAGTAATACATTGTTCTGAGGGGCAGTTGCAATTGTGCTTTTTGAATATCACTAGATTCAATTTGATAATTTTTTCTTAAGAATTTTGCATTTGTCTTTATAAGAGTGATGAGTCTGTGTATTTCTCTTGGTTACAATGCCCTTGCCAGATTTTCAAATAAAGGTTATCCTGGTCTCACAGAAAGTATTTGCAAATGTTTTCTTTCTTGTTACTTTTTTGGAACTTTGTATAAATTAGGGTGGTTTCTTTCTTAAATATTTTGAAGAATTTACTGGAGAGCTAAACT